CATGTGCCAGATTTTCACCTATTCCCATGGTCATCGTGCCAGAAATTAAATTTTGAAGAGCTCAGGGTCGTGAGGGCGCAACAGTTACGTTGAATCGTGGTGTTGAAGTCCCAGGAACGGTGTTCTGGTACGATTTCGGATCGTCAAGAAGCAACACTCATGTTGATTCGCGGCGCTGGAGTCCCGATAATGGTGTTTTGGTGCGATTCAGGGTCTTCACAAACAGTTGTCTCCCAACGGGGCAGTTCACTCAGTTGGAATGAGCTTGTCGAGGCTTGTGAACAGGGAGCTTTCAGAGTTCGTTTATTTCAACATCGTTGATGAGCCTTGGGTTTACACTGGTCTTCCTCCTTCTCCTCATCATCATCGTCCTCCTCATCCTCGTCCTCCTCTTCCATTCTGTCCTTTTAGATAATTCATTCCTGCCGCACCCCGAGGCCAGTCGGAAGAGCGGGCCGGGCGTTTCGCCTGAGACTTCCTGACCGTTCAAGATCCTGAAGCTTGAGAATTGGCAACAGCTTCACAGATGGAGGGCGGATAATTTTCAAAATCTGGTTCTCGCCTTGGCGCCGCACACAATCGTCTTAAAATGTTGCAAACAGCTTCACGGCTTGAGGGCGGGTTGTGTTCAAAAGATGGCTCTCTCCTTGGCGCCGCGTACACTCGTCTTAGAAAATTGCAGAAACGTTTCACGGATTGAGGGCGGGTCGTTTTCAACATGGGGCTCTCGCGATAGCGCCACGCACACAGGTTCAAATTATCCTGGCGAAGGACCCAACCATATGCAAACGTGAATACCGCAGGGCAGGTGGGACGAAGCAAAAAGAATTCCCAATGTGGCCACGAACCGTGTGAGGGGTGCGCCACACTGGGGCGGGGCCGCATGCGAACCCTGCCACTGAGGCCTTCGGTGGAGCTCTCTATGTCCCTGGGGGCCACACCGTGTGAGGGGTGCGCCAAAATGAAGGGGCCGCATGCGAACCCTGCCACTGGGGCCTTCGGTGGAGCTCCCTATGGGGCCACGAACCGTGTGAGGGGTGCGCCAAAATGAGGCGGGGCCGCCATGCGAACCCTGCCACTGAAGCCTTTAGTGGAGCTCCCTATGGGGCCACGAACCGTGTGAGGGGTGCGCCAAAATGGGCGGGGCCGCCATGCGAACCCTGCCACTGGGGCCTTCGGTGGAGCTCCCTATGGGGCCACGAACCGTGTGAGGGGTGCGCCAAAATGAGGCGGGGCCGCCATGCGAACCCTGCCACTGGGGCCTTCGGTGGAGCTCCCTATGGGGTCACGAACCGTGTGAGGGGTGCGCCAAAATGAGGCGGGGCCGCCATGCGACCCCTGCCACTGAGGCCTTCGGTGGAGCTCCCTGTGGGGCCACGAACCGTGTGAGGGGTGCGCCAAAATGGGCGGGGCCGCCATGCGAACCCTGCCACTGGGGCCTTCGGTGGGGCTCCCTATGCGGCAACGAACCGTGTGAAGGGTGCGCCAAAATGGGCGGGGCCGCCATGCGAACCCTGCCACTGGGGCCTTCGGTGGAGCTCCCTATGGGGCCACGAACCGTGTGAGGGGTGCGCCAAAATGGGGCGGGGCCGCCATGCGAACCCTGCCACTGGGGCCTTCGGTGGAGCTCCCTATGGGGCCACGAACCGTGTGAGGGGTGCGCCAAAATGAGGCGGGGCCGCCATGCGAACCCTGCCACTGGGGCCTTCGGTGGAGCTCCCTATGGGGCCACGAACCGTGTGAGGGGTGCGCCAAAATGGCGGGGCCGCCATGCGAACCCTGCCACTGGGGCCTTCGGTGGAGCTCCCTATGGGGCCACGAACCGTGTGAGGGGTGCGCCAAAATGGGCGGGGCCGCCATGCGAACCCTGCCACTGGGGCCTTCGGTGGGGCTCCCTATGGGGCAACGAACCGTGTGAGGGGTGCGCCAAAATGGGCGGGGCCGCCATGCAACCCCCTGCCACTGAGGTCTTCGGTGGAGCTTCCTATGGGGCCACGATCGTGTGAGGGGTGCGCCAAAATGAGGCGGGGCCACCATGCGAACCCCGCCACTGGGGCCTTCGGTGGAGCTCCCTATGGGGCCACGAACCGTGTGAGGGGTGCGCCAAAATGGGGCGGGGCCGCCATGCGAACCCTGCCACTGGGGCCTTTAGTGGAGCTCCCTATGGGGCCACGAACCGTGTGAGGGGTGCGCCAAAATGGGGCGGGGCCGCCATGCGAACCCTGCCATGTGGAGCTCCCTATGGGGCCACGAACCGTGTGAGGGGTGCGCCAAAATGGGCGGGGCCGCCATGCGAACCCTGCCACTGGGGCCTTCGGTGGAGCTCCCTATGGGGCCACGAACCGTGTGAGGGGTGCGCCAAAATGAGGCGGGGCCGCCATGCGAACCCTGCCACTGGGGCCTTCGGTGGAGCTCCCTATGGGGCCACGAACCGTGTGAGGGGTGCGCCAAAATGGGCGGGGCCGCCATGCGAACCCTGCCACTGGGGCCTTCGGTGGAGCTCCCTATGGGGCCACGAACCGTGTGAGGGGTGCGCCAAAATGAGGCGGGGCCGCCATGCGAACCCTGCCACTGGGGGCTTCGGTGGAGCTCCCTATGGGGCCACGAACCGTGTGATTGGTGTGCCGAAATAGAGACATGCGGAGGGTGATGCTGGTGATGACGCCGAATATCATGGTGATGTTGATGATGACGATGATGATGATGACGATGATGATGATGATGATGGCAGGAGGGAGGGGGCAGCGGGAGGAGGAGGAGAAGGAGGGAACGCGGGGCACCGTCTCTTCAAAACGAGGACCCAACACCACAGGATGGTTGGGAAAAAAAATTGCGAAAGCTTCACGGATGGAGGGCGGGTCGTTTTCAAAGTGTGGCCCCCGCCTTAGCGCCGCGCGCACTAGTCTTATAAATCTGCAAGAGTTCACGGGTTCCCATGGTTAACGCACAACACAGGTGTTTTGAGGGACTCAGGACTAGGAGGGCGCACCAGTTACATTGATTCGAGGTGTTGAAATCCAAGGAATTCTGTTCGAACGCGATTCAAAATCGTCAAGGCGCATCAATCAAGTTGAAATTCCGAGCATGGTGCTTGGGCACGCTTCAAGATCTTCCACGGCTGTCTCCCAACAGGGCACTTCCCTAAGTGGAATCAACCCTTGTAGGGGCTTATGGAAAGGGAGCTTGAAGGGAGAGTTCATTCCAACATCGTTGATAAATCTTGGGTTCCCAGTGGTCCTCCTTATCCTCCTCGTCCTCCTCCTCCTCCTCCTCCTCCTCCTCCTCCTCCTCCTCCTCCTCCTCCTCATCCGCATCATCATCATCATCATCATCATCATCAGCATCATCAGCATCATCATCATCATCATCATCATCTCATCATCATCATCATCATCTCATCATCATCATCATCATCAGCTCAGCATCAGCATCAGCATCATCACATCATCATCATCATCATCATCATCATCATCATCATCATCAGCATCAGCATCATCATCATCATATCATCATCATACATCATCATCAGCATCTCATCATCATCTCATCCTCATCCTCATCCTCATCCTCATCCTCATCCTCATCCTCATCCTCATCCCTCCTCATCCACCTCCTCCCTCCTCCTCCACCTCCTCCCCTCCCTCCTCCTCCTCTCATCATCATCATCACGTTTTTCCTCCTCCTCCTCCTCCTTCCTCCTCCTCTCCTCCTCCTCCTCGTCCTCCTCCTTCTTCTCGTCCTCCTCCTCCTCCTCCTCCTCCTCCTCCTCCTCCTCTTCCTCCTCCTCATATTAGTATTGCTATTGTTGTTACTAATGTTATCATTACTGTCCTTATTAGTGATAGCATTATCGTTTGTATTAGTATTAATATGAAGTAGTATTAGTAGTATTATTAGTAGTAATATTGTTATATTTATTCATAGTATCATTATTCTAGTTAGTGTGGTTATTCCTTTTCTTAGTATTACTAGTATTATTCAACGTCTTCGTATTATTATGAGTGCTCCTCTTATTCTTAATATGCTCATTCGTATTATAAGTGTGAACTTTAGTATTGAGTTTATTCGTATTCGCATTCAAATTATTAGTGTTAGTACTGTCAGTGGTAGGTTTAGCATTAAATATTAGTTTTCTTAGTTTCATGATTATGATTGTTATTCTTAGTAGTATCATTATTACTAGTCTTATTATTGATAGTATTAAATTCTGTAATTATTGATAGTGGTACTATTAGCCTCGTACTAGTATTAGTAATGTTACCATTGCTCTTCTTATTAGTACCATTCGTCTGGATAATCTTATTGTTACATGTATATGATTACTACCATTAACTTATGATTATTAGTACGAGTATTAGTGATATGATTATGATTATTAGTATGCTATGTTGTCTTACTCTTACCATGAGTGTTAGCATGATCATCCTCATTAGTATCTTTCTTAGTATTGTTTTATGTGTGTGTCTCATTCGTAGGATGCTTATTCTTATTATGGTCATTCGTACTATTATTCGTCGTCTTCGTATTATGAGTGTTGTTATTCAAATTCGCATTCGTAGTCATAGTAATCGTCTTATTATGATTCGTCCGTTTTACTACTGCTATTATTATTCGTATGATGTTTCTTCTTCCTATGACTCATATTACTATTATTATTCAAATTACTTCCTCCTCCTCCCTTCTCCTCCTCCGCCCTCCTCCTCCTCCCTTCTCCCCCTCCGCCCTCCTCCTCCTCCCTTCTCCGCCTCTTCCTCCTCCTCCTCCTCCTCCTCAGCCTTCCTCCTCCCCGCCTGCTCCTCCTCCTCCTCGTCCTCCTCCGTCCTCTCCTCCTCCTCCTCCTCCTCCTCGTCCTCCTCCTCCTCCTCCTCCTCCTCCTCCTCCTCCTCCTCCCAAGCGGGGGTGGGGCCCACATTTCGCCACCTGTCCGACGGAGTCCGAGCCCTACCCCCGCCGCCCGCCGAGTCTCTTGAATCGTGGATCGGCGAAAGCGGGGTCCAGACCTACCCGTTGAGCCAAGACCGCCGACCGCCCCACCCCGCGGAGGATGGCGCCCAGGCCGCGCCAGAGCCGCCGCCGCCGCCCGCCGAGAGACGCCGCAGCGCCTGCGGCAGCTCGGGCTCGGGCACCAGCAGACCGGACTGGCGCGCGCGCGCGCTGGCCGGCCGGCAGCCGCGCGCTGGCGCAGCGAGGACAGCGCGCGCGAGGTGTTTGGCTGGTCCTCCATGCTCCGTAGACCACCATCGAGTCATGCACAAAAAAATCATGACGGAAGGTTTTTCGTTAATTTCGGCCTCCAGAGGCCCTTACCAGGCCCTGGGACCGTCAAAATACAACTCAAGATGATAAACTGGTCCCGATGGCGGGGGGGAGAAGCGATGAGTAGACGAAACTGCTGCGAGACAGGGACTTTTCCATATCCACCGCCTGAAAGCCGACGCCCTGGTGCCCCAGCGGGCGGTGGATATGAATATATGGATATATGAGAGAGCGTGATCCACCGCCGCTTTACTATGGAAAAATCCCCCCCCCTCTTCCTCCTGAACCCGGGGGCCCCCCCCCCTCCGAAAATCCTCCCCCCCTGCTGGACCCCCCCCCTTCCCTCCCCCGGCAAAAACCCCCCCATCCCCTGACCCCCCCCCCCCCCCCCCCCACCCTCCCCCTCGAAAACCGCGGAGGTCACTACCATTCGAACCTCCCCCCCCCTCGAAAACCGGAGGGGGTTCACTACCGGTTCGAACCCCCCCCCCCTCGAAAACCGGAGGGGGGTACAATTTCGAACCCCCTCCCCCCCCTCACCGCCAGCAAACGACTCACGGTCCCTACCACCGTCCGCACCACATCCCCCAGTTGTTCCCAGCACCACTGTCCTCACCACCACTGTCCCCACTGGTTCCACCACCGTCCCTACTGTCCCCACCAGTGCCCCCACCACTGTCGCACTGTCCCCACTGTCCCCACCACTGTTCCCACCACGGTTCCACTCTCCCCACTTTCTCCACGGCCCCAACCACTGCCCGACTATCCCCACTGTCCCCACTGTCCCACTGAGCTGTCCCACTGTTCCCACCACTGTCCCCACTGTCCCCGCCACTGTCCCCACTGTACCTCTGTCCCCTTGTCCCACCGCTGTCCTCGCCACCGCCTTCACCACTGTCCCCACCACCACTGTACCCTCCACTGTCCCAGTGTTTCCACCACATTCCCACTGTCCCACCACCACCGCCCCCACCACATTCCCACTGTCCCCACTGTTCCCACCATTGTCCTCACCACTGTTCCCACCACTACGGTCCCCACCACTGTCCCACTGTACCCATCACTGTCCCGCTGTCCCCTCACCACTGTCCCCACCACCACCGTCCCCACCACTGTCCGCACCCCCTTCCGGTTTTCGAGGGGAGGGGGTTCGAACCGGTAGTGACCACCCCCCCCCTGGTTTTCTGGAGGGGGGGGGGGTTCGAACCGGTAGTTAGTGACCCCCCCCCTTTCATGATGGACTGGGGAGGGGTGGGGAGGGGTTCGAACCGGTACTGACCCCCCCCGGTTCTCCGGAGGGGGAGGGGGGATTCGAACCGGTAGTGACCCCCACCCCGGTTTTCCGCCAGCAGCGGTAGAACACGCTCTTTCGGACATATTGTGGCCCCCGGGGGCCCGAATATATCCATATCCACTGCCCGTGGAGGTCCGCGAAGATCGATCCCCCAGGCGGTGGTCATGGATAAATCCTCGCCTCGGAACTACGGCGAGGGTGGAAGGTATTTAAGCCAACCAGCGGTGGAAGGCGGGAAGGACGAGCAAGCCAGTGGGGACCGCCAGGGGAGTCCGTCAAGGAGCGGCGGGGGGGAGCGAGCTGAGAGCGGCCGAGCCGCACGGAATCGAAGGACGCAAGAATCACACACACACACACACATACACGCATACACGCACACACACACACACACACACACACACACACACACACACACACACACACACACACACACACACACACACACACACACACACTTTTTGCGTCGGCGGCTGGGCAGAGAGTGACTGCTCCGACGGATGGGAAACAGGGGACACGCCGCATGCAAATTGAGGCCGCCTTGCACGGAGGAGGAGGAGGAGGAGGAGGAGGAGGAGAAGGAGGAGGAGGAGGAGGAGCCCCGGCGCGACAGGAAGGCAGGAGGCCGGGCCCACTCGGAGTCGCCAACTGCGGCAGGGGGAGCGCCGAGGGGGGGAACCAGCACTGGCACTGAGCTGCGCTGAGCTGCACTGAGCTGAAGCTGGGGGGGAACGCAGCCCAGCAGAGTGGGCGGCTGATGGGGGAGCAGGACGAGCGAATCAGAGACTCGACCCAACGGGCCGATAGGAGCTGTCCGGGGGAAGAGCCGAAGCACCGAGACCCAGGTGCCCACGAAGCGCGGCAGACCAAGGGGCGGAGGAGCGCCGAGACCAGGGGGGCCCACGAGGGGCGGCAAGGGGCGAGAGGCGGGAGGCGGACAGGCACGAAGGCGCCCCGACAGGCGACACCGTAGCCCAGCGAGTGACGGAGGATGACGATGACGACCCAGAATCGGAATCACTCCAAGGTGCCACGGAGCTGGGAGCGCCAGGGACGGCGGGCGAAGCGGAAGGAGAGGACCACGCCCAAAAGGGGAACGACATGGGCCAGGGAGGCCACCAGGGCGGCACGCGCGCCGAGGCCAGAGGGCCTACTAGGCGCAAGCCGTGATGGCGGGGCAAGGCGCCGCAGGAGAGCGGCAGCGCCCAGCGCACCAATAACCGGTAGATGGGTGCGAGGCCTGAAAACCAGGCTAAAGGGGCGGACTTCGAATAGGTGTTATGACGGTACCGAACACTCCCTGCGGCCAGGGGCGCATCCCGCAGCAGAAGCGCCACGGTGCGTGGAGGGCCTGCTGCGGCCCCTCGGTGCAGCCGCAAGAGAATCAGGGAAGCGACGAGGCCAGGGAGCGGAGGAAGCTGCGAAGGAAGGCGGCGTCGCGTCGGCCGGGGCCCCTGTTGCCCCCACCGCGCTGAAAGCAATACCTGGCCCGGGCCGAACTGGGCCCACCGCCTGCTCGCTGCATGTCCTTGACTGTGGCGGCTGGGGCCCCGTTGGCCTCGAGGGGGTTGCGGCAGAGGACACCTGAGACAGGGGTGGCACTCTCCCCGCCCTGGGGGGGGGCCTGCGGTAGTCCTCGGCGCTCGAGCTGCTAGTTCATCGCCACATGGAAGGGGGGCGTGGCGAAGGGACCGAGGAAGAGCGGGGGGGGCCCGTCGCGATGACCGCCGGCGCTGCCCTGCGGCGGGGTCAGCGCAGCCTCGGCGGGACGCAATGCGGGGCGCCAGGTGTGCCGCCCCGTGCGGGCAACGGCACGCGATCCACATGCGTGAGACGGCGCACTGGGATGTCGATGTCCAGCCGTGGCGACGAGGGACGCTCGTGGTGACCGGGGTGGCGCCCCTCCGTTCTACAATCCTTCCGCGGCGAAGAAGGCCCTCTCCCTGTGCCGGAGACACGAGTGCCACCACACGCCCTGGCCGAAGCGTCACCGAACAAGAACTGTACGGCAGGCACGCACCCTTCCTGGGCCCAGCGGGACCCCGGGGGGGACAGGGCCTGGCAGACCGCCGGGTCCGGGACGATGCGGTTCTGGTAGGGGGGGCCTGGCACAGGGTGCGTGTGTCCGCCGCGGGGGCACCACTGCTTCGCGTCGATGCAGGCGGCTGGCTGGGGGGTCGTTGGCGGCCCCGTACCCAACGCCACACACACACTTTGAAGTCGGCGGCGCAAGAGAACCTCGGCGGGGTCGGCAGGTGGAGGTGCGAATTGCGGACGAACTCAATAGAACGCGCCGTGATGAAAGGGTCCAGCCACGGCCGTGCAGACAGGTGCGAGTGGTAGAAAGGTCAAAACCAAAGTGCAGCGGCCAAGCATCCCGCGGAGCGTAGTTCAACGCCAGGAGTTGAAGACCAAGCAGCAGTCTGGTGCTAATGAGCCAACATACACACGCATACACACACACACACACACACACACACCTCACACAACAGCTTGCATTGCGAATCCGTTCGCGCTGCCGGATTTTGAGACGCGGTCGGAACGAGGACGAAGGAGGACGCGGACAACGGAGGAGACGGACGACGGAGGAGGCGGGGAAGACGGAAGAGGGAAACTCCCCAGCAACTGTCAAAAGCAAAACCCGCTCTCCCCCAGCCGGCCCCTGGTCCCCAAACATCCGATGCCTTTCTTTTGAAATTCGGGGTCCCCCCAAAAAAACACCCTTTCACACAGGCTGGCTTTACGCCGTGAAACGGATTCTGACAGTCCCAGAGCCCGGTGAGGGCCCTCAGAAACAGAAAACGACGAGCAGGCGGTGTCTTGAAGGGAAACAAACTTTATACACCGACGCTTTTCCCGGCCCTGCACTGACACTTGCTCCGGAGAACGGATCCTGGTGTATACGGGATCCTGGTGTATACACTTTCCATTGTTCCCCTGGGAGACGGAAAAAAAGTATACACCGCACCACCCCGATGTCGTCCCGACCCTGAGTAAAAGTCCCTGGGATTGAATAACAGCACTCCACGGGTTTCCGATCTCGATCTTTTCGAAACGATTGATGTGTAGGCCCGCCGGCCCAACGACAGGAGAGCCCAGAATCGAATCGTTAAGTCGGATCGGCAATCGAGATGTATCGGATCGGCAAAAAATCGACAGCCGATTTGGGAAAAGTCGAATCGGCGGAAATCGGCAGCCTGGTGCGCCTCCATTAAGAAATCGGAACCCACATTGGCATCCCAAGCCGAATCGAATCGGAACTGGAAGCCATCGAAGTCGAATCGACTCGAATCGGAGAAGTCCAAACGAGCCCTGCAACAATATCCAGCCGACCTTCGGGCCGGGCGAAAGGAGGGGAGCAAAGGGGGGGGATAGCAAAGGGGGGGATAGCAAGGTGGGGCTGAAACCAGCTGCATGCGGCAGATTTCGTAATCCCCCCATTCCTTATCCCCCCCTTTCGTTCGGCCCGACACCCGGCAAGGCCGCGCGGAAACCCCACCGGCGCCCCGCCTCCGGCATGTGGAGCAGCTCGTAGGACAGCGCCGCGGCGGACCTGCCCAGCGGGGCGTGGCGGCCCCGCTGGGCCGGAGTGGGCCGCCGCCGCTTGCCCCCCCCCCTCCTCCTCCTCCTCCTCCTCCTCCTCCTCCTCCTCCTCCTCCTCCTCCTCCTCTTCCCTCCTCCTCCTCCTGCTCCTCCTCCTCCTCCTCCTCGTCCTCCTCCTCCTCCTCCTCCTCCTCCTCCTCCTCCTCCTCCTCCTCCTACATTGCCTTCTGATGACCAACTCCTCCCTGTCGCACCCCGAGGCCAGTCGAAAGGGAGGGCTTGGCGTTTCGCCCGAGACGTCCGTACCATGTATGAACATGAAGCTGACAAACTTGCAACAGCTTCACAGAAGGAGGGCTGTTTTTTTCAAAATGTGGCCCTCGCCCTAGCGCCGCGCACATTCGTTCTAACAATTTGCAAGAGCTTCACGGATTGAGGGCGGGTCGTTCTCGTGATGTGGTCCTCGCCTTGGCGCTGCGCACATTCCTGCTAAAAACTGCAAGAGCTTCATGGATGGAGGGCGGCTCGTTTTCAAAATGTGGCTCCCCGGCCAGGGCCCAGCCGAGGCCGACCACGGCCAAAAACACATCCCCTCGTGATCTGTTCAAGGCGCGAGCGGTCCCGTGGCCCTGCGAAGGCCCCCCCGAGGCCGAGAACTACCAACAACACCTCCCATCGTGACGTTGCAGACCGCGAGCATGCCTGGGCCTGGAGGTCTGGGTCGGCGGCGCCGCTCGGGGGCGGCCCCCGACCCAGGCCCTCCAGAGGCTCGGGGGATGCCGAAGCCAGAGGCGTTTCGCCACCCTCGGCCTCCGGACGCTGGCCTCGGACACGCGGGGTCGTCAGCAGAAAAAAACACGGGACGAACAGCCTCATCCTCCTCCACATCCTCCTCCTCCTCCTCCTCCTCCTCCTCCTCCTTCTCCTCCTCCTCCTCCTCCTCCTCCTCCTCCTCCTCCTCCTCCTCCTCCTCCTCCTCCTCCCCTCCTCCTCCTCTCCTCAAGTCCTCTTCCTTCTCACCATCCTCCTCCTCCTCTTCCTCCTCCCCCTCCTCCTCCTCCTCCTCCCTCCTCCTCCGCCTCCTCCTCCTCCTCCTCCTCCTCCTCCTCCCCCTCCATGTTTTTGTTCCGCCTAAATAACTGGCCAGGCGTTTCGCCTGAGACTTCCTCACAATGTATGATCCTGAAGCCTGAATCTGCGACAGGTTCACGGAAGGAGTGCGGGCCGTTGTCAACATGTGGCTCTTGCCTCAGAGCCGCGCACATTCGTCTTACAAGTTTGCGTGAGCTTCGCGGATGTAGGAAGGGCCGTCTTCAAACTGTGGTTCTCGCCTTGCCGCCGCGCACATTCGTCTCTAAAGTTTGCAAGAGCTTCACGAATGTAGGGCGGACCGTTTTCAAAATGTGGTTCCCAGCGCAGCGCCGCGCACATCCGCCTTGAGAAACTGCAAGAACTTCACGGATGGAAGGCGGTTCATTTTCAAAATGTGGCTCTTGCCTTAGCGCTGCGCACAGTCGAAAAAAGTGCACGACAGTTCCGAGATGCTTATAGTTGACGTCCGAGAGATTTTTCTGGCACGACATAGGATTGTCAGGATTGTCAGAGCACAACTGTTCCGTTGATTCGCGACGTCGAAGTCCAAGAAATGGTGTTCTGGCACGATTCAGGGTCGTCAGGACGCAGCAGAAATGCTGCCTCGCGGCGTGGCAGTCCCAGGAATGGTGTCTTGATGCGGTTGAGGTGTTCCAGACGGCTGTCTCGCAGTGGGACCTTTGCTGCAACGAAAGTACATCCTTGTAGGGCCCTGTGAAGGGGGAACTCGGACGGAGGGCTTCTTGCAACATCTTTGACGCGCCTTGGGTTTACACTGGTCGTCCTCCTGCTGCTGCTTCTCCTCCTCATCCTCCTCCTCCTGCTCCTCCTCCTCTTCCTCCTCCTTTATGAATATCTCCGCCCTGTCGCACCCCGAGGCCGGTCGAGAGGGCGGGCCGGGCGTTGCGCCTCAGAGTTCCTCACCATTCATGACTCTGGAGCATAAATATTGGCAACAGTTTCACGTATTGACAAATGTAATGTGGCTCTCGTCCTCGCACCGCGCACATTCACTCTAACCATGTGCAAGAATGTCACGGATGGAGGGCGGATCTGTTTCAAAATGTGGCTCTCGCCTGAGCGTCGCTGACATTCGTTTGAAAATCTGCAAGACCTTCACGGATTGAAGGCGGGTCGTTTTCAACATGTGGCTCTCGCCATAGCGCCGCGAACATTCGCTTTTAAAACCTGCAAACGCTTCACGGATTGAGGGCGGCTCGTTTTCAACATGTGGCTCTCGCCCAAGCGCCGCGCACAATCGTTAAAAAAATGTGAATAGAAACATGGATTCCGATGGTCAACGTGCCATAAATTGTGTTTGGAGGGACTCAGGACTGTGAGGGCGCGACAATCATGTTCATTCTCGGTGCTTAAGTCACAGGAACGGCGTTCTGGTACGATTCTGGATCGCCAAGACACCACAATCGCGCTGATTCGTGGCGGCGTTGGAATCCGGAGAATAATGTTTTGGCACGCTTCAGGATATTCAATGGGTTGTCTCCCAACGAAGCGGATCACTCAGTGATCCTCAATGGAAATGTAGGGGTCTAAGGGAGCGATCTTGGAGGGAGGGTTGTTCCATCATCGTTGATGAGTCTTTGGTTTACAGTGGTCCTCCTCCGCTTCCTCCTCCTCCGCCTCCGCCTCCGCCTCCGCCTCCTCCTCCTCCTCCTCCGCCTCCTCCTCCGCCTCCGCCTCCTCCTCCTCCTCCTCCGTCTCCTCCTCCGCCTCCGCCTCCGCCTCCGCCTCCGCCTGCGCCTCCGCCTCCGCCTCCGCCGCCTCCGCCTCCGCCTCCGCCTCCTCCTCCTCCTCCTCCTCCTCCTCCTCCTCCTCCTCCTCCTCCTCCTCCTCCTCCTCCTCCTCCTCCTCCTCCTCCTCCTCCTCCTCCTCCTCCTCCTCCTCCTCCTCCTCCTCCTCCTCCTCCTCCTCCTCCTCCTCCTCCTCCTCCTCCTCCTCCTCCTCCTCTCCTCCTCCTCCTCCTCCTCCTCCTCCTCCTCCTCCTCCTCCTCCTCCTCCTCCTCCTCCTCCTCCTCCTCCTCCTCCTCCTCCTCCTCCTCCTCCTCCTCCTCCTCCTCCTCCTCCTCCTCCTCCTCCTCCTCCTCCTCCTCCTCCTCCTCCTCCTCCCGTCCCCGTGCAGGGAAGTGGCCAAAGCGGTCCAGGAGCCCCAGCCTCGAAGAAAATCTCGGGGCACAGGGGGGCCGGCGGGCCGGCCAGCCGGCCGGCGTGCGCAGACGAGGGCGGGAGCACGGGCCGCAGCGACAGCAGACGTCCTGGCCTTGACCTGGGAACGGGGATGGAGGAGGATGGACCCAGTCTTCCCGAATCATGAAAAAAATCACGACGGAATGCGTTTTTTGCTATTTTCGGCCTCTGGAGGCCCTTGCTGGGCTCTGGGACTGTCAAAAAACGGATCAGGATGAAAAACGGGCCCAGAGGAATGGGTCGAGAACTGGGGGTCGACGTCAGGAGAAAATCATCACGTCGGAGGTCTGGGGAGAAGGATGGAGGAGTGGGGACGAGGAGAGAGGGAGGGAGGAGGGAGGAGAAAGGAGGGAGCAGAAAGGAGGAAGAGAGGGAGGAGGGAGAAGGGAGGAGGAGGGAGGCTGGCTGGTGGCCACTGTGGGACAGCACCCCGAGGGCAGCCGGGAGGCGAACCAGCCGCGGCCTGACCTCAGTCGGCTCCCACATCCGCGCACAGGGGACAACAGCTCCGGTGGAAGGAGGGGCCCCCCCACCTCCCTGGCGATCTCCAGGGATAGCAGGGGAGGAGGGCACCCCACCTTGCACCAGGGGTTTCCCGAGCGAGCGCATGTGAGTGCGGACAGGGAGCTGTAAAAGGGATCTGCCCTGGGGTCAACCATCCAGTCCTTGCAAGGCATACCGCAGTCTGCCAGCGTGGGTGGTGGAGACCATCCGGATCCGCTCCCGGCCCCCGCCCCCGACCCACCTCCGCGGCCTCAATCCTACCTGATCCCCTTGGGGCCAGGGCGCACTGAGCAGCCGGAGACGGCAGGGCGAGGGCGAAGGCGGCTGAGTCTGGACGGAGGAGTGGACGGGGAGCCTTGGAAACTTTTTCGCTCCCAGCTCCCATCAGGTGGGAGAACCCTGCACCCCCTGAGATGGGGAGGGGCTAGGAAGATCTGGGGATCCTCAACGCACTCTTCCCTTCCAGACAATACGGAGGGAGGGGGGGCGCAAGGACGACAGGGGAGGGAGGGAAAGGGGGGGGGGACGGACAGAAGAGGGCAGAACCCCGAACCAAGCCCCCCCCCGGAGCCGAGACGCAGTTTTCCCTGCCGCACCCCGTCGTGGCAACGAGAGTGCCTCCCAGGGGCCACCGCCCCAGGAAACCAACACAGCGCAGCAGGGGGGAGGGAGGACAAAGACGAAGACGGGGACGAGGAGGAAGAGAGCAAGGGAAGCAGGAGCAGGGACGAGGGGGGAAAGAGAGAGGAGGAAACAAGAAGCGCAGGAGGGCGGCGATAGGACGCCCCGGGGGTGCATCTTCACGCAGCCTCCCTGGCAGGGGAGAGAAGGAGGGCGGGGAGAGAAACGGGGAGTGCCGGATCGCACTTTTCAAGGGGCTCCGCCCCAGAACTCCGTGGCACTAGAGTCCAGAGCACCTGCCCACTCTGCCAGCTGCTGGTAGCCCGGAGACCCCGGTTCGGCCCCCATGGAGGCCCCTGGCTCCGCGCCCGCGCCCACCCCCGGGGCCTGGCCGAAGGCTGCGCGCCCCTCTGTCCATGCGCCGCACACATTGAGAGCATGGGAGAGGCCCTCTTCTGGAGCCAAGGTGGCCTCGCAGAAAATGCAGTACTGCAGCCTAGCCCATGAGCGCCTGCGGTTGCGGTGCGTGAGGGTCAGGAGGCCCGCGCGGAGGCGCGAAACAGACCGCTGAGCTCGCAGACACGAGGTAGGGAGCCCAAGGGCGTAGCCCTTGGCAAGATCCTGGCTCACACACGGCCGCAGCTGGACGTAGGGGTGGCCGTCCAGGGCTTGCGCACGGGCAGCAAGACAGCGTCCTGTGATGACCGTCTTTGCGTATGCCTTGTATGCTGCCAGGGGACCCGCGCACCGTGCCTTCCAGATTGGCCAGTCCTCCACTCCCCAGTCCTGCAGCAGGCAGAGCGATGCCCTGGCCCAGGAGGGGTGGCCAGCCGCCTGCGACCCACGAAAGACCGCGCCATACAGGTCGTCCTCAGGCAATGCCCAGAGCGTGGCCCTGCGCACAGCAACATCTACCGCAGCGCGGCCCGCTCCCGAGAGAGGCCACCCCAGCTCCGACGTAGCCACCATCGCATTCCTCCACGGCGGGGCACCAGTGAAGGACCGCGCCCAACCCTCGTAGGCTGCATTCAGGACTTCGGAGGCGCCAGGGGCCACAGCCAGCAGCCACCGACCAAAGCGGAAGGAGCCTTCTATAACCATCTCGAAAGTGGCCATGGCCACCGCGAGGGGCACTCCCCCATTGGCCACCAAGCCCGCCAGGCTGGCGCACTGTGCTCCTGCTGCTGCAAGCCGCTGGTTGAGGAGGGACAAGAAGTTCTGTTCGTGTTGCCAGCGGAGGCCCAGCCAGAGATGCTGCTCGACTGGGTGGATGGGCACCGGCGGGCGGCCCACCAAGCGCAGATGGAGCTTGGGCCTGTTTGTGTTTCCCACAGGCCGGCGGGCCCCCCCGAGGACGGCGAGAAAGAGGAGGACAGGGGAGTACAGGAGGGGGAGGGAGGGAGAGAAGAGAGGGAGGGGGGAAGAGACGGGGCTAGGAGCGGGGGGGCATGAAGGGGGAGGAGGGGCGGAGGGGGACGAGGATGGGGGACGCCGGGGAGGACAGCAACGACGACGCCGACCGCGAAGGCAGGCCCGGTGGGGGGGGGGGGGGGGCGAAGCGGGGCAGGCGGACCACAGGCACGCCACGAGGCCGTACGCGAGGAACAGCAGGAAGTACTCGCGGGCGGCGCGCGCCCCCGTCGTCGTTGCCGCGGCCGCCGCCGCCGCCGCCGTCCCCATCCTCCCCAGCTTCGTCCCCCTGCTCCTGCCTTCTCCTCCTCCTCCTCCTCCTCCTCCTTCCTCCTCCCCCTCCTGCTTCCTCCTCCCCCTCCTCCTCCTCCTCCTCCTCCTCCTCCTCCTCCTCCTGCTTCCTCCTCCCCCTCTTTCCTCCTCCTCCTCCTCCTTCATCCTCCTCCTGGACCCCGCCGCCTCCACCACTCTTCCTCATGGAGAACTCCTCCCTGTCGCACCCTCAGACGTGTCGGTAGGGCGGGCCTGGCGCTTCGCCTGAGACTTCTTCACCGTTTATGATCCTGAAGCTTGATCTGTGCATCAATTTCACGGGTGGAGGGCGGGTGATTTATAAAATGTTGCTCTCGCTGTGGCGCCGCGCAACTTCGTCTTATAAGTTTGTGACAGCTTCACGGATAAAAGGCGGGTCGCTTTCAAACTGTTGGTCTCACCGCAGCGCCGCGCGAACCCGTCCTAAAAGTTTGCACCAGCTTCACGGATGGAGGGCGAGCGGTTTTCGGAAAGTTCCTCTCGCCCCGGCGCCGCACAAAATCGTCTCAAGAGTTCGCAACAGCTTTACTCATGGAGGGCGGGCGGTTTTCAAAATGCTGTTCTCGCCTCAACGCCACGCAAATTCATATTAGAAATTTGCTCCGACTTTACGGATGGAGGGCGGGCCGTTTCAGAATGTTGCTCTCACCGAAGCGCCTGCAGTTTCGTCTGAAAAATCTGCAACCTATTCACAGATGGAAGGTGCGTGGTTTTCAAAATGCTGCTCTCGCAGCGCCGCGCAAATTCGTTGCAAAAATGCAGCACTTTCACGTTTTGAGTGCGGGTGGTTTTAAAGATGGTGCTCTCGCCTCAGCGCCACACAAATGTGTGTGAAATGTTTGCAGCAGCTTCACGGATGTAGGGCGCATGATTTTCAAAGTGTTGTGTTCGACTAAACGCCGGGCAAATTAGTTTTAAAGATGCAGCAGCTTCACGGATGGAGGGCGGGTGGTTTTCAAAATGGCATTCTCGCATAAGCACCGCGCAAATTCGTCTTAAAAGTGTGCAGCAGCTTCACGGATGGAGGGCAAGTGGTTTTCTAAAGATTGCTCTCGCCTTTAGCGCCGCCCAACTTCGTCTTCAACGTTTGCCACAGCTTCACGGATGGAGAGCGGGTGATGCTGAAAATGTTGTTCTCGCCTGAGCGCCGCGCAAATTGTCTTTAAGAAGTTTGCGAGAGCTTCACGTCTGGAGGGCGGATGGTTTCATAAATGTGACTTTCCCCTTCGCGCCGCGCAAATTCGTCGTTAAAAACGGCAAAGGTTTCACGGATGGAGGTCGGTTATGTATCAAATGTTGTTCCCGCCTTAGCACAGCGTACATCCAGTTTGAAAGCTTCAACAGTTTCAAGGACTCCCGCAGTCGAAGTTCCAAGAATGGTGTTCTGGCAAGGGTTATTAGGATTGCCTGAACAAGCAATCACGTTGATTCGCGGTGCTGAAATCCCAAGAATGGTGTTCTGGCACGTTGAATGTCTGGACGCAAGAGTTACGTCGATTCGCGACGCTACAATCCAAAGAATTATGTTTTGGCACGACTGAGAATTCTTGGATGATTGTTTTCCAATGGGGCGTCTGCCGCAAGGACAGTAAATCCTTGTAGTGCCTTACAATTTGGAGGGATGGTTTATTCCAGTATCGTTGATGCGCATTGGGCTTACACTGGCCCTCCAGCTTCTCCTCCTCATCCTCCTCATCCTCAATGCTCTCTCGGGGAGGGGGCCAGGGACTCCAAATTTCCCCGCCAGGGCGGAGAAAGGGGGGGGAGGGGGAGGGGGAGGGAAGGGAGGCGCACCAAGGGTAGGGGGATGGGAGGGAGGACGAGGAGGAGTGAGCGAATGAGGAGGAGGAGGAGGAGGAGGAGGAGGAAGCGAGCAGTTGAGGAGGGTAGAACAGCGGGACTAGATTGTTGAACGGGCGTCCTGCAGCGATGGTGGATGTACCCTGGACACGAAGGAAGAAAAGAAGGACGACGACAATGACGAAGAACCTCAAGGTTTCTCTATTGACAGTTTCGTGTGCTTTGCCCAAGACGAGGAGGACTGGAAGAGAGAAATAAAAGCGGGAATCACAGGAAAAAAAAGGGTAGCAGGAGGAAGGAGCAGCAACTTCCGCCGTGTCGTCGGCTCCCGTCTTCGCCTCACCTATATCAAGCTCACAATTAACCTAAGATCGGGAGCGGCCAAGAGGGGGGTGTCCAAGAGGGGGGTGTGCAAATCATGACCGGCGGCATGTGCGCGGCCCAGCGGGGGGGCCAGGAGCGTAATGAAATAAGAAGAGGCGCCATGAAGTCTGGGGAGATGTCATGGCCCCCGCCATGATGTCCACCCCCCCTCCTAGTCATCACCCCCCTCTTTTCCGCCCCCGAGAAGAGTTGTGTGCCGCCCTCCCCCGGCAACAGGGAAGGACTCGAAGGGGTCTGGAATGCCCAACACCTCGAAGGGCTCAGGGTCAGCGTCAGGATGAGAGGTCTCTCCTCCTCCTCCTCCTCCTCCTCCTCCTCTTCTTCTTCTTCTTCTTCTGCTTATTCTTCTTCTTCTTCTTCCTCCTCCTCCTCCTCCTCCTCCTCCTCGATCCTCGATCCTCGATCCTCGATCCTCGGTCGAAGGGGTCGAGGAGGACTCGAAGGGCTTAGGGTCGGTGTCAGGATGAGAGCCGGAGGCGGACCTCCGACGTCGTTGCCTTTATGTCGCGACGTGGGCCGACTGGACACAGCGATTTTGTCCCTTGAGGGCCCGCGGGCCCTATAACAGCCCCTGGAGGCACACACACACACACCCCGCCCCAGAAATGCAAATCATATTCGCGACGCATGATCGCGGGAGGGTGGGACGAGGGGAGTGACGACGACGAAAAAAGGGATACTAGGGAGGGGGCGGGGGAGGGGGCCTATGGAACCCGCTATAGGGAGGTGTTTCCCATTGCTGGTGGGATGATCGCCTTGCAAAGAGAGGCCATCCGATGCTGCCCTTTACGGGCCAGTGCGACGCAGCATGATGTGCGGGTGGGATTATCCTTTTTGTGTTCACCACATGCATCGAGACCCCAATGACGCGGTGCCAACCACAGGGATGCGACTCTGGAGTCGGCAGGCTTCCTGCCGCGGGACTGCGGGGGGATCCTCTGTTGGTACACCGTCTCCCAGGGGGGCGCTACAGACGTGGCGTGAGATGCCCTCGGCGAGCAGGTGCCCTCGAATCTAAGCGGGCCCGGAGCCCCTCACGCACCCCCACCCTGGACGTGCCAGAGAGCGTCCTCCGACCGAGCCGCGCGCGTCCCTCGGCCACGACTTTTTGTTGGAGGGGCTCTCGGAGGCCAGGGAGGGGGGCGGAGGTGGAGGGGCTGCGGGAGATCACCCGTGGGACCCATTTCGGAGGGCGCCAACTTTACACCTACAGCGATCCTGGCCAGGCCCATCTTGGGCCCGGGATCGGTGCATACGCCCTCCTGTCTTGGCGAGGGATGCGTATGCGCCGATGCTGGGCCCAAGAGGGGCCTGGCCAGGATCGGTGTAGGTGCATACTTGACGCCCTGTGACCAGTGCCGCGGAGGTGGCGGGGGTCACGCTGCGGCCATAGCGCAGGTCGAGTGCCACCTCAAAGGGCGAGCGCGCGCTCAGATGGACCAGGGATCCGTGCATCAGGCGCATCCTCCTCCTCCTCCTCCTCCTCCTCCTCCTCCTCCTCCTCCTCCTCCTCCTCCTCCTCCTCCTCCTCCTCCTCCTCCTCCTCCTCCCCACCCCCTGCGAAACAAAAGGCCCGCGCCGCCTGCCTTGGCGGCAAGGCACGCCCACGCCGCACGCACACACGTCGGTCGGGAGAGAAGTAGGTAGCAGCATGAAGCAGGAAGGCGGATGCAGTAGATTGGACTCAGGCCCTCCCAGCGAATCCGCCGGCCCCCTTGTGGGGCCACCAGGCTGTAGGCCCGTGATTCGCAGTTTCCTGTACCAGTCGTAGGTTGTAGTTTCCAGTGTTACATTTCTGCTTCTTGCTGGTTACTGTAACTAGTTGACTTATTGCTGGTTACTGTAACTAGTTGATTGACCGCGCGAGAGGGGGGGAGGCCCAAAGTGGATTTTTAGCGTCCCCTGGGCGCGTTGTCTGAATTGCTGGGGGGGCTCGAAATCGACGCCCCTCACGCAGATCCGCGGGGTCAGGGTCCAAAAACACATGGGATTTGCCACATTTCTGAAATTCGGTGCCACCCCTCACGCAGATCCGCGGGGTCAGGGTCCAAAAACACAGGGATTTGCCACATTTCTGAAATTCGGTGCTCACGCCCCTCACGCCACATTTCTGAAATTCGGTGCCACCCCTCACGCAGATCCGGGGTCAGGGTCCAAAAACACATGGGATTTGCCACATTTCTGAAATTCGGTGCCACCCCTCACGCAGA